GGAGTTGGAGGTTGCTGTGAGCTGTGATGCCACGGCACTCTACCCAGGGGGACAGCTTGAGGCTCTGTCTCAAAAATAAATAAATAAATAAATAAATAAATAAAAATAGAAAAACTGAGAAAAAAGGATTGCTTGAAAACCCCAGAGTTTGACATTGTGAACTATGATAACGCCATGGCACTGTACCCAGGGCATCCAAGTAAGACGCTGTCTCAAAATTAAAAAAATTAACCTGGATATATTTAAGCTTATAAACCTAACTTCCACCTTAAAGGACATATATTAATAGGCAATGAAGTAATGAGTTAAATTACAGCAAGAGAAAACAACCAGACAAATCCAGAATGTGAGAAATTCTGTAGAATAATTCATGTGGTATCTTAAAAAATCCATGTAATAGGGGATAAGAGAGGTAAAGCACCCTTGTAGATCAAAAGAGAGAACAGCTGAACAATACTGATTTGATACTGATTTAGGGAGGGAAAAACAGCTCTGAAAACCCATTTTGGAAGACCTTGAAATTTCAATATAGACAGAGCACATTTGGTGACATTTTTCATTTTTCTTAGGTGTGGTAACAGTGTCGAGATTAGAAAGTCTTTGTTTCTTTTATTTAACAATGTTGTGGAGAAAGTCTTTTTTTCTACCATATTTTGAGTATGAAGAAGTGAATGTCTTGTAACTTATTTTAACTGTACTAAACTGTACTAATACACACAAGAAGCAAAGAGGTAAAATGTGAATGATTGTCTCTTTGGCACATATATGTGATTGTCCATTAACATTATTGTTTTAACTTTTTTCTGTAACTTTGGTATTTCTCATAATAAAAGGTAATGTTTCTAGAGCTTAGAAATAGTATTTATTCAAGATGACCTTATGATGGGCCGTTCATTCCTATAGATCCTATGACTGTCAGGGACAATAGTCCTAACAGTAACTTTTTTACTGCCCTCTGCCCGGGCATTATAACACTGGCCTACATTGAGAACCAAAGTAGAAAACAGTTCTGTGAAATGCTTTGTTATGGAAGGATGTTTTCGAGAGCATTGCTTACTGTATCACATGTTGTGGGAAAGATGAAACTTTGTTTCTTTTTTTAAGTTTGGGTTTCAATAACAGAATAATTGTGCCGCTTCTGAGAAACTGGGTATTTGGTGTGTTACACTCATTGAGTTATGTTTCATCGGCTGCCACAGAGCTGAAGTCTTATTTATTGTAGCCCTTGTCTACCAAGCACTTCCTAGCTACCTTTCTGTCTGCTTTGTAATTTTTCTTTCGTGTAATTATTTTTCTCTCATTCTGATTCCCTCGTGTATTTTTTTGTCTTGTTTGGTTAGATTCCCTCATGTATCGTTTTGTTCTAGCCATATTAAAAAGATTTAACATAATGTATTTCATGATTTGAAAGTCTCAGCCTAAAAGACAGATTTTCATATCATTATTGTTAGTCATAGATGTTCTTGTCCCCAAATCTAGGAATCTTTTATCTTCTAACTAAATTTCAAATCAGAGACTATTTCCAGAAAATTAGAAAGTGTATACTTTTAAATGTAATTAAATAAGATAGAAAAGTTTCTATTTTCTATTATAGCTATAGTCGAATTCCTTTGCTTAAAAGGAATAATGCAGAGGAAAGAACAAGGTTGGTTTATGCTAATGAATTTTTAGTAACAGTTGGAATTGACATTTTTCTTTGAGAATTTCACTTTTTTAATTCTTCTTTTCTTAATTAAGGAAAACATCACTGTTTTGCTGTTGGAATTTCTGAAAGAATTGTTATGCACAAAAAATCCTACAGAAAAATTACTTTAGTTTGAGAATGATACTGAAATTCTTTCCCCCTCAATGTTAATCTGGTAAACAACACTTTGTTTCATAAAATATTTTTCAGCATCAGCACATTGGTACAGATGATATATTTACAATTAGATCTCGCTACCTTCTTTAGAGTTGAAGTCCTTCCTCACTCAATTTCTGTCTGGGATTTCTATATTACAATACCAAAAATAACAGCACTTACTCTCAAATATATGTTGTATGAAGTAATGATGGCTAGGACATTTTTAAGACATGTAAAATAGGCTGGGCGCCTGTGGCTCAAGTGGCTAACCCAAGGTGGTGGGTTCGAATCCAGCCTGGGCCTGCCAAATAACAATGACGGCTGCAACCAAAAACTAGCCAGGCATCGTGGTGGGCGCCTGTGGTCCCAGCTACTTGGGAGGCTGAGGCAGGAGACTTGCTTGAGCCCAGGAGTGGGAGGTTGCTGTGAGCTGAGATGCCACGGCACTC